GGGTGTAGGGTGGATAGAATTTTTAAAATAATTTAAACTTTGTGTATGTGAGAGATGTGTGCTGAGCTCTGTCCTCTTCCGTACCAACAATCTTTATGCTATTAGCGACATGTGGCCCCCATCTGCGGATACTTAGATCCATGGACTGCCACACAAACACTGAACAATTTTTTCAGCAAACTTGCTGAAACCAACTCTCCAGGTTTGCAGAAAAATCTGAAAGGTTCAAAATAAATCATGGGGGTGGAGTTAGGGGCAGCCCATTTTGGGGGGTAGGGTGGGGTATAAATGTAATAATAATAAATAACCCCCCCCCCCAATAAAGTAGCATTCTCTACAGAAGTGCAGAGAATACACTTACCTTCAGTGGTGGCGATGCTGGGGAGTCATGCTGGGTCCATTGGTGGCGGCTGCACAGCCCAGGTCTCTGTGCTGGGTCCAGCGGTGGCTGCACAGCCCAGGAGGTGTGCTGTGTTCAATGGTAGCTGCACTAGGCATGCTGTCACTGTTAGTGCAGCCCAGGAGTTGTGCCAGGCCTGCTGGTGGTGGAGACGCATGCCCAGGAATCATGCTGAGCATGGGCCCGGCAAGAAAGTGGGGGGGGGGGGGCTTCCCCCCCCCCGAGTATCGTGGGCCTACACTTGAAATAGTACAATATTGTGTGTGAAGGCTCCAGACTTCATGATCTAGGAAGAACACTCTAGGTGTATGTGACATCAATAACTCTCCAGTATAGCCCATGGATGGGCAAAGTATTTGGCGGTAGGGCCCCACTTGACTTTTGCATCTGAGCAATTTGAAACGATCCTTCCAAGGCTGCAGTCCAGTGGGTCCAGTCCTGCCCAGTTAAGCAGAGCATAAGAAATTCCTTTGGGTCTGACGTAGCTCACTGTCCCCTTCTGGTATAGTTGCTGCATTTCTAGTCTTGCGCTATTCAGTTGTGGCTTTCACAGTCAGAAGCAATAACTGGAGCATTGTTTTTGCCCTGCGTAATGGTGAAGTTAATGCACATCTTGAACGTGAATCTCAGACTGTAAAAATGCAGCTCAAAGTACTTTGAGAAACACGCAGTAAAATTCAGAATATATTGTCAAGGTTTAGAGACAAGCTACACAACTTGCTTTTCAGATTTGTGCGAATTAAATTCTGGTATTCAGATATTAAATCCACCATCTATAAAAATAAATTGGTTAGTTTGGGTTTATTGTCTACCCTTTTTATGGCACAGCATAACAATCTGGTAATTACAGTTATTTAGAATCTTTGTGTAGGTTTCACTTCCTAGAGTCTCCCCCAGGCTTCTGAGGAAGGAGTTCTGAGAATTAGTCACCAGCTTTTGGAATTGTTCCCACACCCAGGGGACAGAGAGTCAGCTGGAGTTCATATTACATACTTTGCTTTATCTTTCTCTTAAGATCTTTAAGGAACTTGCAGTTAGAGGGTCCTGCCATTGCAAACCAAAAGCCTGTATTAAATATTTGAGTTCGTGAATGAATATGGAAAAAGAAAACAAAGGTTAAAACAAGTTCGTTTCTCAGCTCCACTTAGGAAGAAACAGACTCATAGAGAGATAAGCAAGGTACACATTTTCAAAGGACAGAATTACCTGGAGCCACCTCTTTTATATTTTTTTCTTAACATTTTGATGTCTGAATGTAACACATTGAAAGCAGCCCTCAAAGTTTATGTACCTTGTTTGGGTAGCTGCTGCTGCTGTGTTGCCCACTAGTGGAAAAGGCATTAGAACTGCCCCTTGACATGTTCTAGGATGCATGGTTTTTCCTGCACCAAGATTAACAGTATAGAAGAACTCATAATTCATTCAGCCAGAATCTTAGGGCTATATCCTACCATCATGTGCAGCTAAGGGCAGTGTGTTCTGCCAATGCAACTTGTGTTGTAGTGATACAGTGAGGGTCCTGTGACACCTTTTGAGACTAACAGACTCATGGCTTTTCTAAGGAGATTTTTGCTTCATTACGTCATATAAATCTTTTTGTGCGTGATGTTCTGTGTTTTGCTCCAGAATTCATATTGTCTGGAACAGCTGAATAAAAACCACGCTTTCTTTGAGATTCCCACGTGCTTACATTAAGCCTAACCTCTTACTCCTGCCTAGTAGTGTTGCCCCCCCAATCCCTCCACTTAACTCCTATCTGTGTAATGAAAACCCAGTCCTACATCATCCATCTTAAAATTCCACAGAGGTCTCTTTGGTTACTATTCCTACTCCCAGGTGCTCAGCCTACGCAGCCTGACTACTTATTTATCTACCACCTGCTCTCTGTTAATCCTAGCCCTGCTCCTACGTCTGTTATACCAGTCCAGTGGTGGGCAGTGTATGGTTCTGCTTCATGTGACACTCAGGATTGTTTATAGCAATCGGTGGGTTTTTAAAAATGGGGACTCTTGCTAACCTCCCTTTTTTTTCTTCTGATTTTTAGCACTAAATAAGTACCTTCTTCATGTCTCTTTTGCTTCTTCATATACCACACACAAACTGATGCATATTTACTGTGTTCTCCTGAGTAGTTTTTTTTTTTAAAGTAACCAAGTAACTGCCATCTATAGATGAATAACAAGACTCGTTAAAATTTTTGCAGGAATATGTTCTGCTGGCTAGCTTGATTTCGTGACACATTTTCAGTGATTGCAAAGGGAAGCCTCGGAGCTATATTTTATGTTGTCTACGCCTTGTACTACACAAAGTAAATTTGCAGGAATGTACCCAATGTAAAATAAGACATTGCATCTTTCTGCTTTAAAAGATTATAAGTACTTTCAGAGAACATATAAAAATGTTTTTGGTAAAAAAAATGGACAAACGTTTGAAGCATCAGAAAGTTGTGTAGCAGCTAAGTGTTGTCATCCCCTTGTTGCTCCAATCCAGTCCCTTGGACCGTCACTGTTTCAGATGATTCTTCATTTTGTAGCTGTCTCCCAGCCTTTCCTAAGGTCTGAATTTGTAATAAAAAATACATGATTGGTGGTGGAGGAGGAGCATGTTCCAACTTTTCTTGCAATCCTAAAAAAGCAAATATTGAACGATGTCTCAGTCACCCTTTAAAATCAGTGACAGTTGTTTACTAACTAGTATATATTAGCTGTCAAATGTCTCTCTTGAATATGCCAGGATGGGATCATTCATTAGAAGCTGTTGCAGATGATCTCTTGACCATGTTTAAGAAGGCAATGAAGTGTGTTTGTATGTGTTAGCTTAAAAGGGAATATGCCAGCCTTCTGCCAATAGCTATTCAAGGTGACTCATAAAAAGCAATAAAATAATAAAAATGTTTCCTTCATCTAGTATAATTCCTTTATCTTCCTGGCCTTAATGATGCATAAGGTCTTTCTCTTCCTGGCCTTAATGATCCTAGGGGCAGAAAATTGGCTTGGAGCCCTAGACTGAAATTATTGTTAAGATGGAAAACCTAGTTAGAATGAAAGCCAGTTCCATTATAGACTTTAACCATAGTAAAGGTGGGGATAGGAATAGACAGATGCGATCTCTTAGCCTCTCTAACTGTGTTTAAGAGTTTGGAAGTACCATGCTGTCCCAAATGGCCAGCAGGCACTTTCAGATCACTGAGCATCTTAACTGTCATTTGCAGGAGAAAAAGTTTTAGTCCGCATGGTTGTGAAGATAAATTTGAAGGTATGAGAATTGGTATTGAAATTCTCATTCACATACAAAGCCCTTCATGGCCTTTGTACTTCTTATATGCGGGACCTCCTCTTTGCCTATGTTCTGCGATGACAACTTCACTCATCTCTGCAGGACTTTATGCATATAAGGTAAAGGTTCCCTTGCTCAAAAGCCAGTCGAATCCAACTCTAGGGTTGCGGTGCTCATCTCCGTTTCAAAGCCGAAGAGCCAGCACTGTCCGAAGACGTTTCCGTGGTCATGTGGCCGGCATGACTAAACACCAAGGTGCACAGAACGCTGTTACCTTCCCACTGAAGTGGTACCTATTGATCTACTTGCAATTTCTTGCTTTCGAACTGCTAGGTTGGCAGGAGCTGGAACTAGAGACGGGAGCTCACTCCGTCATGTGGCACCCGGGTCTCGAACTGCTGAACTACCGACCTTCCACAGCCTGCAGTTCAGCATCTTAACCACTTGAGCCACCGCAGATCCTTTATGCATGTACCATTCTTCAAAAGGGCAAAATCGATAACCGCCTGTTGTTGTGACCCCCACCATATGGAATGACCTCCCTGATGAGGTTAGAAAAGGCTCCCACTCTCCTGGTTTCCTGTAAACTATACAAAGCGGAATTATTCAAGAGGGCTGCTCAGGTAAATAGAACTACTGTAACGAAATGGTCAGAAAGTTGCATTGGTAAAGGGATAGGGACTGTGACCTGCACCACTGTATTGCTACCTGACACTGGCAGTGTGCTCCAGGGTAGGAAGTCTTTACACCATTTAAGGTAACAAAGCTTGTGCTTTGTTTCAGCTCTGTTTGAGAGTTCTGTTTGCTTTCAGTTTTCTGTAGCCCAAACCCTATTATACTGTTCATTTGATGTCCCATCCTGTTGATTGCACTTGACTTACACTATGTAATCCGCCTTGAGTCTCATTGAGAAGGATGAACTATAAATAACCTAATAATAAATAATAGTAACAATTAACCAGAGACAATTATCTTAAGTGTGTTCTTGCTCTAACATCTCATGATTTCAAGAGGTTAATCAAGAATTTGAACTCTTGGGGCTATGAACGCCAGGTGACTTGGTCAGCTACTCCCAGCTGGGGTGGTCTTTTGTTAGTATATGATTTGTGAGGCTATTCATGGTGGACATTTACCATGTTCATAAAAATGTATGCTATCTCTCTGTAAACAGAAAGTGTGACTTAATGGTAACTTCTGGTCATAGCCTTGGCAGTAAATAAGGTGTCACCATCTTGAATAGATGCATGATGCCGGGGATACATCTGTTTTGTGTTCTGTTATCTCCCTACAAGATATATACTAAGCTTGCCTGCTTTGGTTTCAGGAAGCCGAGCTTACGTTCTCTTGTCCCTGAGCCAGCAGGATGGCATCGAACAGCATATGGATTTTGATAGTCGTTATACTCTTCTGGAACTATTTGCAGAGACTACATCCTCTGAAGAGCACTGCATGTCCTTTGAAGGGATTCATCTTCCTCAGGTATCAATTGACTTGATTAGCTGTGATATGGCAATGAAAAGGATCTCTTGTGAAGAAAGTGGATTCTAGGACTTACGGCTCTGAGAATCAGAGGAGATGAGGGTCGAGTAGTTTAGAGATTGTTGTTAAAGAGGAGAACACGTCTAAAACAGGGCTCGTGATAGGCAGTGGAAATTGAGAAATAAGATGGACAAAACTAATGTCCAGCTAAACAGATACTAACTAGAAGGCAAAGTTACTTTCTTACAGTTTGTCTGATGTTGTGCTATGTCTGTTTCAGATTCCAGGAAAGCTACTGTTTTCCCTGGTGAAACGCTACCTGTGTGTCACCTCCCTCATGGACAAGCTCAACAGCACCACAGAACTGGGAGGGGAGCGCCAAGACTGTGCAGCCCCCAGTGCAAACTTTGGGGAAAAGAGCCGTGTGCAACGGGAGTTTGATTTCAGCATGGCCATGGCTAACCTCATCTCTGAGCTTGTGCGCGTGATGGGCTGGGACCACAGTCAAGAGAGGGAGCTTCTGTCCCTTAGGGAGATTCAGCCTCGAGTTGTTCGTTCCATCTTTCAGCCAAAGGGTCCCACTTGTACCGCTGTTCAGGTACCTCTGGTAACTCCGAAGCCTTCACCACGGAAAAAAACAGGGAATGTGTTCTTGACTTTGTCAGATTTCTCCAACCGCAGCAACTATGTAGAATATGTGCAGGAGAATATGAAACCAGGGATGACTGTGCGCATGCTGGAAGACTACGAAGAGATCAATGCTGGAGACGAGGGAGAGTTTCGCCAGAGCAATAGTGGGATGCCTCCTGTGCAGGTATGTTATGTGGAGAAAGGTTGAGCAGAGCAGGCAAAATTACTAGGAGAGATGGGACTTTCATTTTGATTCCTCCTTTGGTTCATATTTTTTTATTTAATGGTGCCCTGAGTTTTGGATCCTACATAAATTACTTTTCTTTTTAGATCCATTAACAGATTTTGATTCCAGAAGTTGGAAGCATAGTATGTCTACCGAGGACTCCTGAGTATGCTTAGTGGTCATGGGATAAGAGAATCCTCTTATGGATTAAAAACTGGTTAAATGACAGGAGGCAGGGAGTAGGAATAAATAGACAGTTTTCACAGTGGAAGGAAGCAAGCAGTGGGATCCCACAAGGATTGGTATTGGGCTGGTGCTATTTAATTTGTTCATAAATGATCTGGAACGGGATGAGCAGTGTAGTAGCCAGGTTTGTGGATTATATGAAAGTATTTAGTATAGTGAAAACCAGGGATAACTGAAAAGCTCCAGGAGGATCTCCACAAATTGGGTGAGTCGGCAACAATGTGGCAAATGAAGTTCATTGTCGGTAATTGTAAAATGATGCACATTGGGACAAAAGAAACCTAGCTTCAAGTGTAGACTAATGCGGTCTGAACTTTCTGAAAGAGACCTGAAAGTCATAATGGATTGCCCAGTGGAAGTGTCAACTCAATGTGCAGGAACAGTGATTATCTCTGTGCTGGAGATTATTAGGAAAGGGTGCTTCAGTGCTGTGCAAGGATTTTTAACTGTTGTTGGACTGTTCTTGCCTTTTCTCCTTGGTTTGCTATTAGCCCTGCTAGAGGAAAAGGCCTGTCTTTTTCCCCCTACCGAGCATAATGATTAATGTGGACAATATCGATCCAGGAAACAGATATAAGGGAGGAATTTTTTTAAATAGAACCTACCACAGCCCTTATCCAACCCTCTCTCCAGTAGCTTTTTTTAAAAAAAGTTAGACCTTGTTCAGATGAGCTCTCAGTGGCTGCTTAAAGGATAGAATTACACCTGTACTGCTGTGGTCTTTCTAACCATTTTAGTGGAATACAGGTGCTGGGGCTGCTGTCTCAAGAGAAAGACTAGCGGGGATGATGACAAAGAAGAGCTTCGTGACCTCTCCCTTCTATGTCCTTGTTTACAGAGAACTGCCACTGTGAATCTGTTTTTACTGTTGCTGGAGATTTTTTTTTTTAACCAATGCACACTCTGTATTTCCTCGATGTGGATATTTATAACAACAACATTAATGAAAATGTCTTTGATTTCCTTCTTTTTAAATATCCAAATGCACATTCCTAATATTATTCAATCTGCTGCCTTGAGATGGGAAATCCGCTACTTCCTAGGCAACTTGTTTCATTGTACAACTGTCTTAGTCATCCTCTGTTACCCTGCCCAGTGCCTTTCCTTCCTTCCTTGTCCTCCATCTGTCGTCTCCCACATGAAATTTAGGTTTTGAGCTCTCCTGAGACAGGCACTCATCCTTTTTGCTTGTGCTTTGAGAAAGACTCCTCACCACAATATGCTTTCCTTTGCCCATTACTGTTCCTCCCATGGCTCTTCCCCCCATTTTATTCCTGCTGTGTAGAAAAACCAGCCTCCTGCTGATGTGTAGCCCTAGTTAATTAGTTAATTAGTTAGTGTTCTGCTAGGTTGCTGTTTGGGTCTAGCATGTCAGTCACTCTGTTCTACTTTTCACTGTTAAAGATCTGCTCATTTGCAAATACTGGATTACTAGCTTGTCTGTGTTACTAGGCAAATAGAAATACAATCTTGGGCAAAGGCTGGAGACTATATGTATGGAGACCAGAAAAATAGAAATGCAGCAAGTTCAAGGTGATCTATTCAATCTCTAGGGAGTCTGCCTGTAATTGTGAAAATAGTGTTTACAAAGAAGGGACATGAAAATCTCCATTCTTCCAAACTGGGTGAAGAAGTATTGATGTAAATCCTACATGTGGTAGTACTGTGTTCTAAGAATTTCAGCCATATGGTTAGTCTGATTTCGATGTACTGCTTTGCTGTGGCAGTGGGCTGAGTGGCTTGGTGCTTATGAGGTGTATGTGAAGAATGGAATATTACAAGTTCTGATCTTGTTCCATGATTTTTCTGGCATCTGATAGACTTCTATCAGAAGCAATGTGAATTGGATAGAGATTGGTCTGATCCATCCAGCAAAGCAATTCTGATGTTTTATAGAATATGATGTAGAAATATGTAGGTATTATCTGTTGATATACGTTTTTATCTTGCTCTCATGGCATTGTATTTCTACCTGAGCAATTCTGTTTCTTGCTTTGCTTAACATGCCACATTTAAAACTTATGCCTCATTTCAGATTTCAATAGAACAAACACTGTGTAATAGTTCAGTACAAATTCAAATTATTGAAACCAGTACATGACAAACTGTAAGGACAACACGCTGCAACAGTTAAGTATAATGCTATCTCAGTACAATATGACTTATTTCACAAGTGTGGTAAAGTCCCCAATTGATACAAAAAGGTCTGAAGATCCTTTGTAACAAAAATTCAGGAAGATTCCAAGCAGTCAGTGCCCTATTCCGGAGTGGCAGGGGTTTCATCAATAGAACCAAAGCCTTAAACAGTTCAGCCTAACAGTACACAGTCACTTATTCAGAAATTGACCACTGTCTAGTCAATTTCAGATCTGAAATTGACAAGGCAATGGTCCATTGGTGAATAAGTGACTGTGTACTGTTAGGCTGTACTGTTTAAGGCTTTGGTTCCATTGATGAAACCCCTGCCACTCCGGAATAGGGCACTGACCACTTAGAATCTTCTTGAATTTTTGTTACCAAAGATCTTCTGTCCTTTTTATACCAATTGGGGACTCTACCACACTTGTGAAATAAGTCGTATTGTATTGAGATAGTATTATACTTAACTGTTGCAGCATGTTGTCCTTACAGTTTGTCATGTACTGGTTTCAATCATTTGAATTTGTATTGAACTATTACATGGTGTTTGTTCTATTAGACTCCTTTGCTCACTGTGATCCTTTAGATTTATTGTTTTCATTTCAGATTTCTGCAATCCTAGTCCTGCTTCATTGTTTATTAGATGTCTCCTCATCCTATTGATTGTACTGACTTACATTATGTAATCTGCCTTGAGTCTCTTGAGAAAGGCGGACTATAAATAACATAAATCAATATGGAGTCAACCCCACTATGTTAGCAAGGGAGGCAAGAAATGGAGTGTGGACCTTGCATGCACCCACATGGCCAAAAAAGGAGTCTCTCCTCCTGTATTACAGATTGTACTTGTAAATTTTTTGTAGGAATTATGTGGAGAACAGAGCAATATTACACAGCATATAAATAACATAAATCAATATGGACTCAACCCCACTATGTTAGCAAGGGAGGCAAGAAATGGAGTGTGGACCTTGCATGTACCCACATGACCAAAAAAGGAGTCTCTCCTCCTGTAATACATATTGTACTTGTAAATTTTTTGCAGGAATTGTGGAGAACAGAGCAATATTACACAGCAGTGACCTGTGACAGGAGCAAAGTGTGGCTTAAGAAGCACAGTAGCAAAGTTTTGAAGAGTCATCTGCTAGATAGCTTTTAGTGCTGTACTGAATGTTCTCCCACACATTTTAAGGGCAGAAACGGGGTGGTGGTGAATGAGTGGGAAAACATTTTCCAACATACCTGTGAACCTTCTTTCTTGTGCTTTTTGTACATGCCTCTTATCCTTTTGTAGCTGCTTTCCCCCCCTGAAGATTCGGCACAATTTTGTTGTTTTTTAAAACTGGCTTCTGCCTGAGACAGTTCCAGCCAGTTGCCAATTGTAGAGGCAGTCTGACGTCATCCCACTAGCCTGGTATCCACAACATACTTGTGAACTTTGCCAGTGTGTATAGAGGGGATTTTGAAGTTCATGGCTGACTGTTCTGGCACCCCACCCCCTGTGTACATGCATTCACAACATGTGAACAAAATGCTTACGTGCATACAACCGGACATACATAGTTTCAACCTTGGGAACACAACATTAGAAAAGCAGCATTCCTGAATGTAGGTACAAAGCTTACATGCTTGACTTTAGCATGTGCCTATGGGCGTAGCATATCTGCAAGCAGTGGTGAAGCTGGTGCATTTCACTCCCTTAACCCTTCTACACTTGACTGACTCTGAACATAGATATGGATACAGGACTGTGTCACCCAGCTCAATTAGTCTAAGGGCAGTATTTTTTGTCCTGAATGGGTGACTATTTTTACTCAGTTCTTCAGTGTCCTCTGAGCAATAGCCAAAGAAGTAATATATCTGTGTGTGTTGCAGGGAAGAGGCAGTGGGCAAAATTCTCTGTCAAAGACACTGTCCCCATTCCAGCTGAGTTCCACTTTTCCCCACCTTTCAAACACGCCAAGAACTGTCACTTCTAGGTAATGAAACTATGATGTTTTAAGTCAGGGAGTTTATTGCTCCACTTGACATCTGGTATTTGTTTGCACTTGCATGCCTTGTTCTGTGATATGTTTTCACTGGTTTGTATAGGTCTCATTATATTCCAATGCAGTATGCTTATGGAAAAACTATTTTTGTCTTTC